CATTCTCGGTTCTAAGGTCCCTTCCATTTCTAAGGATCTTCTAACATTTTCTGTTCTAAACCTCCTCTCAGCTTGGACCTCTATGTTCCGATATTGTCTATTCTAAAGCTTTTCCAGTTTTGAGGGGCCCTGTTCTATGGTTCCTTTAGTTCTAAGCATCTTGGTTGTAACATTCTCTATCAAAGGGTCCCATTCCAACTCTAATAGGGTCCTATGACTGTGTTTTCTCTAACACCTAGAGAACAGCAGGGCTTCTTCCCTTGAGGGAGTGAGGGATTGATGACCTTGGAGGACCTTTGCCTTGCTGGCATGGGGACATGGAGAGGGAAGAGAGGGGTGGGGTGGGCTGGTCACTATTAAACTACTAGAGTTTTCCCAATCACCAAAACCCAACTTTCTTCTTCCTCTCCTCACTTTATCATATCACCTCTAGACCTCCTTCCCTTCACTGTCTTGTCTCATCCATGTGACCAGAGAGGGGGAAATGAGAGTACCCACTGGATCTTTTCTTTCTCATTTCTTCCTCCTCACTGGTCCTTTTCATGGCCCCTCTTCACCCTCCTTGCCTCCAGCTGAGAACTTGGCACAGCAGTACCAAGAATGCCCAACTGTAAATAAACAGGCGTGTCTAGTGACAGCCCTGGCTTAGGGGATTAGGAGGCCTGGTGACAGACAGCTCACCCCAAATGCAGCCTCAGTTTGGGGGGTTATAGAGGCTTATAATTAAGAGAAGCTTGCTGACAAGGAGGCAGTGTGGTTCAGTGGTAAGCTCTCCAGTCTGAGGATGCAGGTTCACATCTCAGCTCTATCACTTGCTGGCAGCATAACCGTGGGGAAGGAGTTTCATCTCCCAGGGCTTTTCCCCTCTATACAATAAGGGGGTTTGACTAGATGGTCCTGAAGTCAGTTCCAGTTCACATCTGACATTCTATGACGTTGTCAACTACTCTTTCTCCCTTGACTGTGGAAGCTCCTTTGGCTTCCATAACTCTTCTCTCTTGGTTCTTTTCCTACTCCTCTGACTGTTCCTCCTCAATATCCTTCCATAGATTATCATATTTCTCCCATCCCCTAAATATTCAGTGTTCCCAAGGGCTCTGTCCTTGCCCTCTTTGCTTCTCACTCCGTCTCACTCTCTTTCTCTCTGTCTCTCTCCACTTCACTATCTCTCTCTCTCCCCCTCTCTCATCAGTTCCTATTGAGTTCAATTATTATCTCTGTGCTAATGACTCCTTAGTCTCTCTAAATTCCAGTGGCATGTCTTCAACCAGAAGTTTCACCTTGATGTCCCAAAGGTACTTCAGACAACATATCCAAAACCAGAACTCATCATATTTCCCTCCTACCCCACCCTACACTTCTCCTTTTCTATTGAGGGCACCACCATCCTTCCAGTCATCCATGTTTGCAGCCTCAGAGTTACCCTTGATCTGTTCCTTTCCCTCACACCCAGCTGTGTGGAGCAAATCAACCCAGTGCTGTCAGCCCCATTCTTGCTGTCCCTCACCATTGTGAGGTTCAAGTGAAATAGTGGATAGAAAGCACTTTGTAAATCTTAAAATGCCATATGAATGCCAGTTATTATTATTGTTGTTGCTGTTGTTGTTGTTAGCCTACAATCACCCAATTCAGGGGTGATTTCATTCACTGAGCCTTCTTTTGAACTCTTGCTAAGCTTGAGCAATGTTTATAGAGCAGAACAGGAGTGTTTTGGTAAATGTTTAACAACCAGGCTCTTGGGGGGTGGGGGGGAGTATACATATATTTATAAGTTATGTGTTAATAACTTTCTTACATTTAGACAACCAATAAAGCAATAAATCAACTTCCAAATTGCAGCAATTGAAATTTATGAGCTGTAAATGCTCACACTGAAAACTGAACAATGAGCAGCTGACTCCAGCACACCCATATCTGATTAGTTGCCAAATCTTCTCAACTCTACCTTCCCATCATCTCTTACCTCTGTTCCCCTTTCTTCCTCTCCCGCCAAAGCACTCTTTTTCAGGGACTCATTACTTCTTGTCTAAGTCATGGTGGGAACCTCCTCATTGGTCTCCTTGCCTCTAGTCATTATCATCTCCAGCCCATCTTCCACCCACCTGACAGATGGATATTCCTCAGATATATCTGACCAGGTCACTCCCCTGCTCAAAAAGAAATTCTTTGTTGCTGCTTCCAGGTTAAAATTCAGGCTCATGTTGGCATTTAAAGCTTTCCACCATTTGGCTTCCACCCATCTTTCTAGTCTCATTTCATATTTTCTGACATTCACTCTCTGTCCCAGTCAGACTGGTCTGCAAAGTGTTTCCCATAGACAGCATTCCCTCTTCCAATGTTAGTGCCTTCATCCAGGTTGTCCTTCACAACTGAAGGTGGCTCTGCTCATTTCCTCTTCAGAGAGTCCCTACCTTCCTTTCAAGTATAGCTCAAGGGACCACTTTCTCCACAAGACTTTTCCTTATTCCCCAGTTATTAGCCTTCTCTTTCTCTAGAAATGACTTTGTGTATACTTTGCATTTATTTGTCTGTGTCAATGTTATGATCTCCAATAGAATGTAAGCTCCTTGAGGGCAGGTATTGTTTTCTTTTGTCTTTATATCTCTAGTGCCTAGTATTGTGCCTTTCACACTTAAGACGGGCTTAATAAGTATTTGTTGAATGGAATTGAAGATAGTGAAAGGGCTCTTTCTAATACTCAAAGACCCCAGTTAGAGGAATCTTGCCCTGGGGCTCTCTTCTGTGAGAAGGAGCAATAGATCCTGGACCACCCAGATGCTCTTCCTCATGGACTGGCCTCATGGGGACACTATTTGTTCTAGAGCAGATTCCTATTCAGATGCAGGTTGGATTAGATACTCTCTGGGCTCTTTTTCAAATCTGGACTTCTGACATATTGGTCTGGCCAGTTATCAGTCAACAAGCACTTACTAAGGATACCATGCCAGATACCACGCTAAACACTGGGGATACAGTTCAACAGTGTGTTTCTGGAGCCTTCATCATTTACCCCTGAGAAGGTGCCTGGTGAGGTTCTCCTCTGTCTGGTATACGTTTATACATATGTTATGGGCTATACTGCCAGGGAAAACCCTTCTTCCATCTTACAGTCAGCAGGAGACAAGGAGACGGGTGGGGCAGAGCAGGAGACATCTCCCTGTATCTCTAGGAGTCCTATTCTAGTTAGTGCCATCTCTAGCCTGGCCCTTGGTGGCTAGGGTCACTTTTCTGCCTTTCATATACCTTCACACCCAAAGAAAAAATGGGAAATGGATTAATAGAGAGTACCTAAACAATAGCTGGGTGACACCATAATGCATAGAACGCTGGGCCTGAAGTCAGGAAGATGAGTTCAAATCTGGCCTCAGACACTTACTAGCTGCGTGACCCTGGACAAGCCACTTAACCCCGATTGCTTCAGTTTCCTCGTCTATAAAATGAGCTGGAGAAGGAAATGGCAAATCACCCCAGTATCTCTGCCAAGAAAACCCCAAATGGGGTTATGAAGAGTCGGACAGGACTGAACAATAACAACAAACGACAATCTTTAAACGTGGGGCTCAGCTTAGTGGGAAACAACCCCACGGGTGTACCACAGACTCTTCCAGGGCTCAGGTGAAGTCTGGGGAAGGATTATGGGATAGGGGCACTTGGTCAGAGTCAGGAAAGATCATTAAGGTCATCCCTGTAGGGCTTTGAAACATTAGCTGCAGAGCAGCCCCAGGGGGCCAAGATTCCCAGGATCACATCTCTCTCCTGTCCTTTCTAAGGGGTAAGCTCTGGGTCTGAGCTAACCCTTTCAAGAGAGCTTAGCTGAGATGCAAGGAGAAAGAGAAGCTAGAGCGGGGACAGGGAGAGAAGGATTGGGAGCAGAGGAAATCGGCGAAGGCCAAGCTGGGGCCAAGGAGGACACAAGGAGGAGGTGGCTGAAGGACAGGGGGTGAGTTGGAAAGTTGGGGTGAATGGTTTAAGGGAAAGAGATGAAGTTGGGGCAGCAGTGAGGGAAGTTGTTGGCAGGAAAGGGACGGGGAAAAGAAGGAAAGAGATGGGAAAAGTGGGAAAAAGAAGAAAGGAATAGTGTGGGAATAGGAGATGAACAAGAAGGGAGAAAAAAAGCAGAGAAGAAAGTAGGGTGTGATAAGGAGAATAAGAAAGGCTGAGGAAGGAGGGAGAAGTAGGAGGGGGGTGGTACAGAGATAAGAACTATATATAGGACAAGAAGCTCAGTGGTAGGGAGAAGTAAGGAGTGAAAAGGAAATGGACCAGAGCAGAAAGAGGAAGAGGAGTTTGGGAGCACAGACTGAAGCCTGCATGGGGGCAGAGAAAGAACTGTGCGGGGGCAGAAAGGAGCAGAGGAGGGAGTTGGGAAGAACTGGGATGGAAGCAGGAAGGGTGTGGGAACAAAGCAGGGGGCTGGGGTGGGGGAAAGACTGGAATTGGGACAGAGAAAACTGGAGGAGATTGGGATGAAAACAGAGAGGGGGGGAGACAGGGTTGGGGGCCCAGGATGGTTGGGACCCGGATGGCAATAGAGAGAAGAGGGGTCAGTCAACAAACATTTACTACGCACCTACTATGTGCCAGGTACTGTGCTAAAAGCTGGGGATAAAAGAAAGGCAAAAGAGAGTCCCTGATCGACCAACTTGGGACCAGCAGAAGAAGGGATGTGAGAAACTGGGATGGAGAGAGAGAAGAGGTGCTTGAGGATTTGAGGCAGTGGAGACGGGAACGAGAGAAAAAAGGAGCTGGGACGATAGGATGGGGCAGGGGTGGGTTCAGGGGGCTCACTGGACCCTGCAGAGGCCGTACGCGAGGGGGCTTCCAAAGGGGAGGAGGGGGTACTGGAGAAGGTCTCCGTGGGGAGGGAAAGGGAGCCCAGGGGCAGGGAAAGTGCCGGGGAGAGGCGTGACTAGGCAGCAGCAGGGAGGCGGGATGCGGGCTGTCCCCATGCCCGGGGCCCTCTCGGTGCGGGCACAGCAGTCTGGGCAGACCGCTCTCACCTGTAGACATCGACCCAGAGCCGAGTGCCCAGTACACACACCGCCTCGATGCGGTTCCCGTATTGCAGGCGCACAGTCCGCTCCTGAGGCATCCTCCTAGCTCTCGCTCCCGAGTGTAGGGTGCTGGGTGCCGGGTGCTGGGTGCTGGGTCGGCCACCTGCTTCAGGTGAACAAGAGCCAGCAGCTGTCCACGGGGCCACCGCGCGTAGACTTATCCACAGGCAGGCGGGGGGCGGGGCCCCCACCACGGCTTCTGCCTCATTGGTCATCAGACCTGGCCCTACCCTGGGGCGGGGGCGGGGGCGGGGCGGGGCGGGGTGGGGGAGAACCCGAAGAGTCCCACTAGTTGCAGCGGGTTCAATTGCTCTGGCTACCTTCCACCAGTCCGTGTTCGGCTTGGGGAGCAGGGCAGCTTCTCTTGGGGGAGCTTGCCTTGGGGGTTGGAGTGGGGCTATGCGTTTGCTCACACACATTCTCCACGCAGCTCCAGTATTTTAATCTCCAGAGCTCCCTCCTTTGTTACTCCACTCTCTCTGACACCAACACACACCTACACATCACTAACTCACTTTCATGTCCGAACCCACAACCTTCCTTCCCATTCCCCATTATCGTTTCCTCCCCCTCCTCCAATAATTGTTCTGCAACACCAAATTTAAAAAGAACGTTTGCTGATTCAACAAAACCACTATTAGGTCTGTTTCCCTAGGTGATCAGGGAGAAAAGAGAAGAGCCTATATATTCTAAAATATTTATAGCAGCTCTCTCTGTGGTGACAAAGAATTGGAAATCGAGGGGATGCCCATTGATTGGGGAATTGCTGAATAAGGCATGGTACAGGATTGTGATGGAATACTACTGTGCAGTAAGAAATGATGAGCAGATTGGTTTTAGAAAAACATGGAGAGACTGACATGAAAAAATGCAAAGAGAAATAAGCAGAAGCAGGAGAACTGAAACAGCAGTACTGTTTGAAAAGTAACTGAATGACTAAGCTCTTCTGAGTAACACAAGCATTCACAGCAACTATGAAGGACTTCAGAAGGAAGATGCTATCTACCTCCAGAGACAGAACTGATCACTACAAGTACATATTGCATGGTTCCACATATATCTGTGTCGAATGTCAGCCTTCTTTAATGTAGGGTTGGGAGGGAGGGAGACAAATTGGAACTCAAAAGGTAATAATAAATAATTTTTAAAAAAGAACATTTGCTACTTTCCCACCTGCTGGCCTGTAAAGGGTTAATGGAAAGACTAGAATTAGTAATCTGTTAAGCTTGGAATCTAAGAGAATAGAATGTCAGAGCTGGGAGGGACCTTAGAATATAGAACACCAGAGCTGGGAGGTACCTGAGAATATGAAATGCAAGAGATAGGAGGGAGCTTAGAACATAGATCGTCAGAGCTGGAAGGGACCTTAGATTATAGTATGTCAGAGCTGGAATAGATCTTAGTAGAGAGAATGTCAGAGCAGGAAAGGGTCTTAGAACAGAGAACTCTAGAGAGGCGAGAGATCTTAGAACATAGCATATCAGAGCTGGGAGGAATCTCGGAACACAGAATATCAGAGTCCAATGGCTCCATTTTATACTACATTTTTATACATTTATACCTGTATAATTACATATCTTATATATATTATATATATCCCTATATAATTATATATTTTATATACATTATATACATTTTATACCTGATAGCTAGCATTTACAGAGCACTTTAAAATTTGTAAAGTACTTTACACATGTTATCTCATTTCATCCTCACGATAATTCTGTGGGAAGGTACTATTTATTATCTCCATCATACAGGCGAGGAAATTGAGGTATAAAGAGGTTTAGGTGACTTACCTAGAACCATACAGCTAGTAAATGTCTGAGGCAGGATGTGAACCCAGGCCATCTTGACTGGAAGGCCACCCAGCTGCCCTTTAATAAGAAGAATGAGGCCTGGGGGTGGGGGGAGGGGGAGTCAGAGTGATCTAGTTAATCAATGACAAAGCAGGATCTAGAACCCCAGGGCTCCTAACTCCCACTGCATTCTCTTTTCCTTATTAGGCACATAGATTTGGAGCTGGAAGGGACCTTGGAGATTATATAATTCAATTCCCTTATTTCACAGATGAAGAAACTGAGGCCCAAAAAAGTGAAATCCCTTACCTAAGGTCACATAGGTGGTGATTCTCAGGATAGGGATTCTAACCCAGGTCCACTGACTCCAAATCCAACCCACTTTCCACTCTACCATACTGCCTCATACATTCTATAGTGGGCTGCCTTCACTAAAGAATTAACCGTATAGACTTATAAAGGGTTAACAATGCCTGTCTCCTTATAGTCTATAGTTGGTATATTTCTTTTTCTTTTTCAAGGGATGGGTAAATTCTTGGATTTATTCAATCAGAAACTATATTGTGAGCCTCCACCCATTGGCAACCACCCTCCTCTTCTTAGGGTTTAAAAAGAAAACAATCTTTCATTGATTTTTCTTTCATGCCACAGTTTTTTCATGCTATAAGACTCCTCCTCCACCCTGAATGCTCTTTTGTGACCAAAAACCAATTGGGCAAAATCAGCCTACGTAGCATCCACGATGGACAGTGCATCTATGTACTTTTCCTATTTTCAGCTCCCCACCTTTTGGTTAATTAGGCAATTGGGGTTAAGTGACTTGTCCAGGGTCACACAGCTAGTGTCAAGTGCTTGGTCTGAGGGCTAGATTTGAACTCAGGTCCTCCTGACTTCAGGGCCAGTGCTCTATCTACTGTGCTACTTAGTTGCTCCCCTCCTCCCTTTCTAGTAAGCCAATTTCATCAACTGTGGTCTGAAAACAAGATTGTTCATTTATACTTGGTATTCTCCAAACTGCTATCATCCGCATCCGGCTTCCTAGAAAGAGGAACTGAGTCTCAAAGTCTCCTAAATCAGGCTTTCTGGCAGGCTGACATCCATCACTACCTTCTAGGCAGGATGATCCCAGGGGGACCCTGGTAGCCAGTACAAAGCACTGACCAGGCTAGGGGGAGACAGACCACAATATGAGCAGTAGTTAAACGGGATGGATTTCTCAGGTCTTTCCTGAGTGCCAGGCTTGTACTCTGCATGTCTCAATCCAGACTCCCATCCCAGACTCCCCTGAGTTGGAAGGAACCTCAGAAAGTATCTACATCAACCTGTACTTGAAGAAGAATACCATTGCCAGAGACCCAAAGGCTGCTGGCAGAGCTCCCAGTGGAACCAGAACAAGATTGACATGCAATTGGGAAATGTTGAACAAAATGAATAAACATACAATATAACATAGATAATGTTATTGTATGGTCTTCTAAGTCAATATGTGGCTTACAGGGATCTGGTTTTCATTTGAGTTTGACCCCCTTGCTCTAGAACATACCAGTCAAGTGGTCATTCACATTCCATTTGAAGACCTCTAGTGAAGTCCTCTATGATAGGGAGCTTACTACCTCCTAAGGCAGTCCTTTCCACTTTTGGCCAGTTCTGATTATAAGGATGTTTTTTATTATATTGGACCTAAATTTGCCTTGCTGCTGCTTTACCCATTGCTAGTTCTGTGATCTGACTGATAAACACACAGAATCATAGCATCTCAGAGATGGAAAGACCATTTACTCTAGTCATCCACCCAACCCAGGAATTTTCTTTAAAGGATCTCTGACAGGTGGTCAACTTGTTGATTGGTCTGTATGGAGTACCATTGAAAGGAGATTAAAATAACACTTGTCCTGGGGATGGAGGCAAAACTCTAAGACTGGGAACTCAGTGTGGAGGACAGGAGCTCAGGCAGGGAGATAGGGGCTCAGTGAGAGAAAGGGAAGCTCAGTGTGAGCAACTGGGTTCAGTGAAGGGATAGGATTCAGTTACGGCATTGAGCTTAGTAAAAAAAGATAGGAGATGAAAGCTCAGTGAGGCAAATAGGGGCTCATTGGGAGATGTGGGGTCACATTGAAGGGATGGGAGCTCAGTATGGAGATAGAGAGTTCAGCATAGGGGACTGGAGCTCAGTGAGGGAATCATAGCTCATTAAGGGGGTTGGGAAGTTCATTGTGAGGATAAGGATTCAATAAGAAAATGGGATGCTCAGGCAGATGGGTAGGGGGCATAGGGAAGAAGGGATGGGAGCTCACTGAAAATGCTGAGATTCAGTAAGGGGATTGAGAGGGTCAGAGAGGGGAATGGGGGGATCAGCACCAGGGGTGGAACTCAGAAATAGAGTTCTATCTTGGATTAGTCATCCGAAAGCCAGCTCTGTGATATCCTGAGGGCAAACTTGTTGAAAAGGAGTGTGACAGGTGGGGACTCTCGACAGTGCTGGGTGGGGAGACAGGCTGGAATGTGGGAAGAAGAATGACCTTGACTAGAGCTGCAGTCCAGCCAAGGCATCCCAGAAACTCAGTCCGGGTCTCATGACCCTCAAGGGCATGAATTCTAAAGACTTTAGTAATGGGGCAGTGATAGTGGAAGTACTGCCTGTTGATTGGTTCTAGGTGTATGTCTTTTCTCCAATCAGGAGAAGGCAGAGCCCTTTACCCCTAGAAAGCTTCCAGACTTGTTCTCTCCTTATAACCTTACCCTAAATCGCAGAATGTTACAGCTAAAAGTGACCGTATAGATCTAGTGCTTAGTATAGTGCCTGGAACATAGTAGGTGCTTAATGAATGTTTGTTTGTTGATTGACTTATCTAGCCCAATTCTCACATCTTACAGAAGAGGAAGCTGAGGTTCAGGGAAGGAAAGCCAATTGCAGTAGGTGCCACACCTAGTAAGCAGCAGAAATCCAAAGACAATTGGACAAGAAAGGGTATGTAATTCTTGTTTCAGAGACTCTCAGATGCCACAAAGGGTGTGAGTGCCCATTTGTCGAGCTTAATACCCCTACCCAGAAAATGTAGAACATTGCCATGTGTATTGTCACTAACTCCCCTCTCAACTACGTAGTCCACAAAATTCAGAGAAGAAAAACTGTGTTTACAGGTCATTGAAAATAAGTAGAACTCTTTTTTTTTTTTAAAAAGGGAATTAGGATTAAGTGACTTGCCCAGGGTCACACAACTAGTAAGTGTCAAGTGTTTGGTCTGAGGCCAGATTTGAACTCAGGTCCTCCTGACTTCAGGGCCAGTGCTCCACCCATTGCACCACTAAGCTG